TCTCATTTTTGAATTGCATCACTGATTCTGTTATTTTTCCTGTTTATCTCAGATTTGAAATAATATTGCATAATAGAAATCAAGGTGACTTGACTTGCAAGAGTCCATGATCTGACAGCCTTTAGCACATCGAGTCTTATTAGTCATTACAGTTCATATTTAATGAATCACGGTTTGATTCACGAATCACGTCGATGTGTTTTTACATCTTTACAAAATCAGTTTTCAGTTGGGTGTGGAAGCTGAGGTTCTGGGCGGCATTTGCAGACTCAGACTTAATGCTCATCAGTACTTGCAGTTTATGGATATTTGCAAGTCTAGTCGTTTTAAAGTCTCATGAACGCGTGCTGTTTGAGCGCGGGAATTCTCAATAAACACATGCTGCTCCCTCAGTTCTGACGAAAATCAATGACAGGTGATGTGTTAAAATGATTATTTTAAATGGAAAGAAAGAAAGAAAAAGCACAATAGGATCTTAGTGGCTGGGCGCAGTATTTGTTGTATTGATTACATTTCATTTTGTCCTGGTCTGAATCTCCACACACCGGCTGATTCTACAGCTCTGTTTTTATGGTGACTATCTATTACATGATAAAGGAGTAAAGTAATAGTGAGAAACAGGTCGGGCGCTTCTCGAGCTTCGTATCCTTTCCTTGCGTCTTACACTCCCTCAGGATGAGAGGGAAGAACATGAGGACCAAAGACTTCAGAGGACGGTAGGCTATACTGGAATATTCTTCATCACTCGAGCGTCACTCAAAGCGGCATCAGCTGCGTGCGAGGGATCTGCTCTTGTGTTGTTTAAGGTTGGTAATTTAAGCAATTAATAATAAAAATTACGAAAGCAAGAAGCCCTGTTGAAATGTGAGATTAAGGGTCAAAAACATAACTTCAAATGATTGTGGCAGATGTGAAGGATAATTAATGCGCGCATCAGGTTTTTAGACCAGAAACAACATATAAACACCAGTGTATGCTCGCTTATAGCTACTCCTTTCCTCACCTCCTCACTTCCTCCTTCCTCTCCTCACCTCCTCCTTCCTCACCTCCTCACGCCTCTCCTTCC